TGTCTTTGACAATTTAGCTGGCAAAAGACACGAAAAATCGTCGATTCTTTCGTATTTGAAGCAATTTGGAAATCGAAGCGGAATAGAATTTAACATTAGTAAATAATATAAAATAAATATTGAAAATTGTAACGAGATAATTATGGGTAATAGATATATTATATGTAAATAAATAGATGTTATATGTTTTTATCGAAGCAAGAATTGGCATTTAGAGGGCATATGGAATATATTGGATCTAATAACAGAGGTAATTATAATAAACTTGTTTATTAAGTACGTCGGATAAATAATCTATTAAAAATACATGTAAAGAAAGAATTAACTGATTGCCCCTGGATGTCGGCTTCTTATAGAAACACAGCTTCCCTATCATCAAATGTCACGGCACGCCCCTGAAAAGTAGCACTTGTAGTATGGAGAACGCCTGCAACTTGCGGGCCTAGAGCAGCTGTACTTCTAAATGTTTATGCAGTGAGTAATGTATTTAGTTTACGAAAGTACATTACATCAGTAATTTCGAGTCGGTAAACTTATTTGTTACTTATTTGTACATCCAAGGCCCGTTGCCCCATTGCGTGTCGTTTATCTTCTTTCGTTCTAGTCGATTCTATTCCTAGGCTGGATGGCCTAGCGGTCAAGGTGGCAGCCTACCGCTCGGGAGACCCGGGTTCGAATTCGGACGGGTGAAGGAATCCCCAGGACTTTTTCGTGGGGTGGTCCGTTCGGATATGTCGAGCCCCGTCCCTCACCACCCAATCCACCCATTGTGGGCCGGGCCGAATCCACAATGGGTCTGCTATAAAAAGCCCTCTCAGTGCCCACAGGGCGGAAAGAGTATTAAAAAAAAGCCGATTCTATTTGGACGATACTTGGCAAATAAAATTCGATTTTTTTTACTTTTTAATTTGTTAAAAGCGAAATTATTTTATTATAATATATTAATATTCGGCTTTAATTTGCAAATTTAATACATAATGTAACGAAATTTATTATTTAGACTTTTTCAATAATTATTTATTTTTCAGTTATCAAAGTTGAAGGGGGCGTGGTAGTAAAACCAATATGGAAGCGTGGTAGATGACGTGTAGATCGTTTAAATTAATTAATTTAATTGAATATTTATCAAGATGTTCGAAATAACAGACTTTCAGAGTGAGTTACAATTGCAATTACGATATTTCTACGGAATTTTTGCTTCTTTTATTAGTCTTTTTACGGCTATAAAATGGTTTAAAGCATATTCTACCATTTATTTTTATTCACTTTTTTTTCTATTGGAATGTGTTAATGAAATACAGGCTCTAACTCTGTGCAGTATCGAATATTTAATCATTTTATTGCTGGTTTATAAAAAATATTGTCTATTAGTCATAGTTTACAGTGAATTATAAAGAGAAAAAGGCAATTAAAGTGATCAGAAATCATATTTTATGTGAGAACTGCCCTTTGTAAACATTTTCCAATGTTATAGATGTATATATAGGTAAGTTGCAGGATAATTTCTTTAAATTGAGCTTTACAACAATACATGAATCATCTCCATTAAATAAAATTCAATAAATACTGTTTGTTAATGTGTTCTGTTAAAATCCTGTGTATGTTCTGCCTTGACTACCGTTTCTTCTCTAGAACGGAGAGCCAAAGCGGAAAGGAAAGCAATGGGTGAAACTTCTGCCGTTCTTAGCTTGGATTTGGTTTGGCCCGTATAAACTTGCCGGTATGCGTGTGGCTCCGAATGAGGCAGTTGGGACCTTATCGGAGCCGAGACTTTGCCTGTGGGAGTAAAAAAATCAAAGAAAACGATTGGGTGTGGCCCTTAGTGTGATATAGCGCCCCAGAATCAGTCTCGTTAAGTACACAATAAGCATAATGGAGCATAGTGTTACCACTTGTCCGGTTTTCACCCAGACAGTCCGGGAATTAACTCGCTGTCCTGGTGAACTATTAATTTTGTCCAGGAATTTCGTAGAAATTGTGAAATTACGATGAAACAAAGTTTTTGCAAATATTTTTACAAATTTACACTATTTTAACAATGAAAGAACTCACACTCACTGAAACTCATCTGCAATTCTGCCATGTTCGTCTGTTTGTGTGTGGCACACAACTTATTGACCTGTTTTTTTTTCTTATCATGTACAATCGTACACGTCTATGGGCTAAGTTATCTAGCACGTTATTCTTTGCAT